ATCTGTCTCAAGGTTTTAGTTAAAAGTCAAGACGATTCTGATCAATTTCCTGCTCGTAAATAAAGGGATCTTGGAGAAGAAAGTAACTGAATTAGATGATTTTTACTTGTTATTCAAGTCAAAAAAGAGGTAGGGAGATATTAAATGATGCAGCTGCGACAGATCTATGACTACGGAAAAAAATCGATCACTGATTAGGAATTCGTGATTTGGAACGTTGGGAAGTGAAATGAATGGATCAATAAGGTGGTCTCGAGAAGTTAGGTATCTGGAAGTAGTGGTCGGGCGCATTCGGTAGATATCAACTTTCACTCGGGTGACTGAGACATTTAAGACTGAAATGCTGTTGGCAGTGTTTTGCGCCGTTCATACGGATCGGGAATTATGCAGATGATCGCATAACGCAGATGATCGCATAACCGAGTCGGGGAAAACTCACTGAAGTGCTTTTGGGCCATATTCGTAAAATGATTTTTAAGATCGTGTAAATGATGATGATTGTGTTTAGGTGATCTATACGATTAAACTAGAAGAATTGAGTGTGTATTGTTAGTGGGCTTGAAACTGACCATTTCTGACGATAGGATAAATTGCGAGAATGCAGCTGGATTAACGGATATTTACCATTTTATTTATTCATTCACTCGGTATGAATCACCCTAATCTTCTGGAATGTTGGGAATTTATGGCTGGTTAGATTCTGAAGGGTGATTTCAACAATAATTACATGGTAATATGTCACATCAGAAAATTAATGTAATAGGCGAAACAACTTGGAAATTCGTTATTTTGAGTCATTTATTAATCGTAAGGCAATACGGTGCTGAGAGAATATAATCTATTCTCGATATTACTGCTTCAGAAACCGAAAACAATTAATTCAGGATATGTTGTATTCAGTCACACAATACTCTTTTCACAACAGTTATTAAAGGCAACGTTATTGATGATGTTAGCACAGGCCGTAACCATGGACAGTCATTCCCTCCGAAATAGCTCTTCCAAATTTGCATTAAATTCGAAGCTGTTGATCAAAAAATATAGTCTCAGCGATGCAAATACCTCCTCTTCAATCAAAAATGTTTAATTAGCGTTCAAAAGCCGAAGTCTGATGGCTAGTGGTCTGTGCTAGAGTGATGCGGTATTGTGTGTTGTATTCTCTTATGGACAGTGCCAGAAGGGGATTGGATAGCAGTATGTGTATTCAATGAAACCACGACGCGGTGTTCTCGTTACACGATCTATAACACACGTGGACAACTTCGGATCGCAGTGACATCCTTCTTTTCTGCAAAAAGTGTTTTAGTGTTCATGAGCAATACAATTTCTCTGGATTAACTTGTTACTCGCTTCTATCTCAATCCGAGATTCCCAAGCCATCATTCATATCCTTGGCGCGCCTTTGATCACGAACAGAACTTAACGTCATGAGGCTCATAACTGGATAATACAGCTAGAATAAATAATCTCCTTCACGTTTCCCTCTTTGAATACCCAGCTTGAGTTCCTCCCCGGGAGAAAATTTCCGATCCTTGGGAACCTGTGTACTAGTCTTTATATGATTAGTTTTTGACTATTAATTAATTCTGCCTATCTTATATTGTTACGCATTCAGATTGTTTTAGCAGAGTCAGTGCAAATTGCATGTTGGCTTATTTTATATTGTTACGCTTCTTATTTGAGGATTCATTCTTTCCGAACTGACATGAATATACAAATGAAATTTGAAAAGAATTAGATTCCTGTAAAGCTAACGTCCATGCTTGATTCGGTGCTAAACGGCACCACTGTGGTGGTTCCCTCATATCGTAACAATCCGCATGTGTATTACATCCTTGTGGTCGAAATCTGAAACCAGTTATTAGTTACAATTGTAAGTCGTGAATTCGTGAAGTTGCTGATACTCGTACGCATCTTATTTCTTCTTAATGATAAATAGTTCGTGCTGATGGGACGAATTCTAATACATTTGAATCATGCACTTTTTTGTGATCACTCAATCCAGTCTTTGATCCATCACAGAAGACGACTGAAGAGCAGTAAAATGAAAGTAAAACTTGACTGAAATGGTGGCCAGAAATACTGAGAAACGCTCTCTACAGTTCGGTATGCAACAAATTCCTTTTTTTTCTGCTTCTAGTTTTAGTGGCATACGAAATCAAACGATTTTTGTTGCATGGATAAGATTAAGTCGTTCTCGGAGAATCATCCTACAAAACCACTCCCAGTATCCCGAATCAAATCACTGAATCAAGTTGACCCTCCAGTTGCGATAACATGAGACTGACTCGGTGTATCGCTGTTTCTCTTACCATAATACTCAATGTCAGAACAATTCAAATTGCAAATTTCGATCGAAGACAATTTCATTCAAAATGTAAACACCGCTATTGATTCAGTTAATGTTATTACGAACTGCTGAATAGCCGGTGTTGGCACGAACGATGCTCCGTAACAGTCCGCTGCCGGATCCGGACTCGGCATACATCCCATTTGATCCTGAAGTAGATTCATTAAAGTTTTGCGGAACAGCTGCATTATTCTCAATATCATAGTCAATTACAGCAACTGATGGGTCTTATTCCTTTCAAAAAATGTTACATTCGTTATTCATTCGGATTCGGTATGCTACTTCTGATTGACTCTCCTAAAAATTTGTTATGATCAACTGTACTTTTAA